GGCGCAAGAATGCTCGAACTCAGCATCCTGCCCAAATTGTGAAGTATCCTCAGTTGTTCTTTGGATTTATTGAGCAAAATACATGTGCACCACCAGCAGCTGCAGGACTCCACCCCAGAAATGGCTCTATTTCAGTGGTGAAATCACACTGGAATGTGCTTCTCATCCAAACATTAACCCCACTTAACCTAAAAAAACCCCAAACAAACCACACCAAGTTTGTCCTGTTTGAAAACAATTTAGTAGCCTGCTTTTCTGGAACAGAGGGACTTGAGCATTCTGTTTATGTCCCTGTTGACCCACTGTGGCTCTTTGTCAGAGAGCTAGAAGGCTTGGCCATATTATGTTCATACTGGTTTGGGAGAAAAGGCATCTAAGTGGAAGAGAGAGACAATTTACTTCCTTTTTTTAAAAGTCCACTTCTAAGAAGGTTACTGAAGGCACGTACTTTGTGTTATTTACCCTTTGGTTTTTATAGGCCTGTTCCATGGCCTTTGCAGCTTCAGCAGAGTTCTTCCAGTGGAGTCTCCTTTCCCTTGGTGTGCCCTCAGCCTCCTCTGCTTCAAGTTCAGTTTTAAGTTTATATAATTTGTGTATCTCCTCACAAGAGCCCTGGAAAGCCTGGCTCCTACTCAGACATATTCCTAATTAAACTGGTTGTGATGCTCTGCAGAGTTGGTACCCTGGAGTAGAACTTCAAGTTTCACTTTTAGTGACTTCAATGTGTTAATGGCTTGTGCTGCAAGACTTTGGTAATGCTTTCATATTGTGACACTGTGAGTAAGAAGTTGGCACGTGGTTCATGATACCCTAAAAAGCTCCTGGCAAGGAACTGAATCCCTCTAAGTTTCTCTGGGGAACAAATGCAATGTGGCCAGATGCATCTCAGGGCTTGGTCACACAGGATATTGGGGCATAAGTATTTCACTGGTGAAAGTGATGTGAGTTACCAGATGGGGTTGCTTCAGAGTTATATCACCAGGGAAGAATATTGGAGATCGTTCCCAAGAAGCTCACCATCCCCAAAGGCTCAGATTGTTTCAGTCCAGATTGTTGCCTCTCCTATGGTTTCCTTCTACTTCCTGCTAAAATCACTGAAAGCTGTGGATTGCTGGATCAACACATTGCTAATTTTAAAAAATAAATGAGTAGTCTTGTAGTGAGTGCATCAGTTTCTCCACCTGGTTTGACCTGAGTTGCTTTTTCCATCATCTGCAGTAGTGACAAAGCACTGATGCTACTGATGGCTTTGGGACACATCAGGAAAATTTAAGTCCTTGCCAGTGAATAACTTCAGAAATCTTTGTCTCTTCTTCGCTCATTTTATTTGGATTTTTTTTCTGTCACTGTTATTCTGGAGAAACAAGCTGTTGGTCACGTTGATGAAACTTCTATTCAGAATTTACATCTAATTTGGGAAAGGGTTTGAGGCAAAGCTGAGGGACACCAAGATTCTTGGTATGGCCACAAACATTTGATAGTATCCAGAAAGTCACAAGGAATGTTTGTGACTTGCTAAGTTTTCAGATTTCTCAAAAGAAAGAAAAACAGGAAAGCCCTAGTCAAAATATGGAAAAAGAGGCAAAAAAAAAAAAATTAAATGGGTCTTGAATCGGTGGCATAAATTTTTCCAGTGAGCTGTTAAATTTTTCAACTAGACTTGAGTCATAAGCAGGTGACATAGTCTAACCAAAACACTGTGGAATTCAGATACTTCAACACAGGAAAGCCAACATCATATTAAAATGCACCATCTGATTAGGTGACAACTGCAATTTATTCCCAGGGAAATCCATTTAATTACTTGGAAGGAGTCAGGATGTTTGATCTTCCAGGAAAAAGACAGTTCCAAGGGCTGGTAAATATGAATTCAGGAGAGGGATTTTGTGAGGGGTTCACAATGCATCTGTTCGCTGAAACTTGTAAAAAATCATTACAGCATTCAATTCTCTTGTGAGTCTTTGAATGTAATGAGTGCTCCTTCCAGCAAGAGTTTCAGGTTTACATTTCATCTGCAGTTGGCCCATTTTTCCTATCCAGCTCCTTCAGTTGCTGGAGAACTCGGAAAGATGACCCAGAATTGGTTCAGAAATGCCACAGCTGAGTGGGGAACCTCCACGTGGGCTGTTGTCCACCATAAGATGGTGACACCGTGGTTGCTGGCTCTGTGCAGTGTGACTTCAAGGAAGGAGGTTCCCTCTGCCTCTAATGATGCTGGCAGTTTTGGGGATCCATTTCCACAGCTGCAGCTGGTGTTTGGCTCCTGTGGAGATGGATGATTTGGCACTTTACCCAAATCCCCCTCCCTACTGTGCCCAGCCCAGCTCTCCTCTATGCATATTACCAGAGCAGCCAGTGCTAAGTCTACATTTCCATCTGTGTTCTGCACTGTAGGGAAACATGGGGTTCAATCCATGGCCCAAGGGGAGCATGGGATCTCTACATACACCTCCATGTGCAGATATGGCACAAAACCAGATTTTGAGAAGCCTGGGAAAATGGTTGTACTTAGGAACGTTTTGTCATTTGTAAGCGACTGTCTTTAAGCCACCTTTCCTGCCCTCCCTTAAAGTGCTTTAATGAGCACGATGTAGGAATATATCTACCCCTTTAACTTATTTTATTGGAACTTTGATTCAGTATCAGTGTTTTATTAATTACTTCATCCTGTGGTATTTGAAGAGGGTAAACTCACATGGGCACTGAGTAATAGATTTTAGTGTCATTGTGTCATTACCAAACCCCATCAGTACATGTATCCAGAACACTGTTACATGTAGAAACCTCTGCATGAATGAGAAGATGAGATTATTTTGGAGTATCGAGTGCATTGCTAGTCTGCCTGCCACCAAGTGATCTGAACTGCCCCTGCTTTTTTTTATAAAGCTCTAGCCCTTCACTCACATCTTCTCTGTGCTAAATATTCCCCCTTTGACTGGGAAGTAGCTCTGTGAGGCTTTCTAGGAGGAAGGAAGGGACAGCTAATAACAGCATTAAACCTGACCTTCTGTGTGTGCCTGAGCCTGCTTTCCCCAAAGCCATGCATAAATTAACATTCTGGCAATAAAACCGAGCCTGTTTAATTTTCTGTTTGACTAGAAACATTGAGAAAATGTCATGATATTTGATTTCATCTTTGTCTATTTTTTGCCCCTGCTGAATGAAGCTCATTGGACTCTCGAGACCCGAGACGCACACGGCGTGTCTGGGAGCACATAAAGGGGCACTGTCCCTCAGGCATGTGCTCCTCAGCCACGCAGGAAGTATTGGGTTTTATGTTTGAAGCCTGGCTGAGGTTCCCTAATGGCTGTTAATCCTCTGGTTTCTTTGACTACATCCTTTGCCAGACCCGGTCCCCACCTCAGCAGGCTTGAGGTTCGTGCTTGCTTCACATAAGTGTCCAAAAATGCGTAGGAGGAGGCTCCATACCAGACTGTGTGAGGGTGGGATGGATCAAAGGAGCAGCTACAACAGTTAAATTTTCCTTGCTGAAACATGGAAAAGTTGAATGTACTTTCAAGGGACGAGCCACTTTGAAGGAAGAGCAGCTCTAGCCCAAAGGGGCTTTAGGTGAGAGGCAGCAGAGGAAGTTAAGCAAAGTTTAAGGGTGAGCTTAGCGGATCTGCTGCCGGCAGTTGTTGTAGCTTCACTGAAAGCTGTGAGAATTCTTGCCAGATGGAGACATGGCCTTGAGCATTGTTGATATAAGGAACAATTTCCCAGGAGAAAGGATAAAAAAAATTAACCTGGAGAGGCGGCCTGACACATTGCTATGGTAATGAATCCTAAAAATAAAAAGTTTTGGAAGGATATGAACCCTTTGCTCATAGTCATCCTTCCTTTTCCTCAAGGTTTGTGAAGAGTGCTGTTCCCCTGAGTCCAGTGCTGCTCCAATGGCTGCAATCCCATGGAAAATCTGTCCCAACAAGGCATTTTTCCTTTATCTGTCCTTAGAGTCTTGCCACTATTTTCTCAATGCTCACCTCTTACATTGCCTTTCCCCATGGCTTCAGGTGGTCTTGTTTGCTCTGATGGGACTGATCAGAAATCCTTAACCTTGAGTAAGAGCTACCAAAGAGGAAAATCAGTGAGCTTGCTGAGTGAATGGGGGAAACTGTTCCCAACCCCCAAACTGTGGTGCTACACTATAAAAGTGTAGTAGCCAAGATCTCTGAGTTTCTGAAGAGAAGCTGACTGAAAGGTGTGTGTGTGTGTATTAGAGGCACATTTGCCCAATGATGGCTCTAAAAGCTGTCCCAAAGTTTCCCTGTTGTCTCCCAAAAAGTACTGTAAGGTGTTATGGTCCTGCCCAAAATGTGTGTTCAAGCTGCTTTAACAAAGCCATGAGACCCAGGGACCTCCTGTGTGCTCAGGCAGTGACTGGCTCACTGACTGATAGCTGGGGTTTGGGATGCTCTGGAAATGGCTGGGAAATGAGGTACAGCACCTTGCTGTGTGTCAGACTTGTCTGGCCTTTGGGGGTTTGTTGAAGCTGTAGGGCTGGTTAAATGCATTTGTTTGACCAGGATTTTGACGTTAAATGCCTGTAATAATGTGTACGAAATATATTGTTCTTGTGCCAACGTGAAACTTGCTGAGGACTTTTAAGCAGAATCTGTGACTACTCTCCTGGGAACATGGATGTGTGTAAATCAAGAGACTTGAGATTAACAGCATCTCCAAAAAGTTGTTTTAGTAACTGTGATTCCTTTCAGTGTTTTATTAACACATCCAGACTCCTCCTCATACTGTTTCACTCCTGCCAAGGAAACACAGACATGTTTGACGAGGGGTACAAGGGGGTATCTCCTTTTGTGTCTCTGTCTACACACATAGATGCTCATCCACATTCGTGTTCTGAGACTGGCCATCCAGGATGGGCAGGGCCCATGGGGGAAGGAGAGTCCTGCTCCAAGGGGCTTTTCTTACCGTACAAGACAGCCAGCAAGACATGGATTTTCCTTTTCTCTTCAACAGGAACACTGACTGTGTGGCTGGCGGAGAGCACACAGTATGAATGTCAGCACAAGAAGTGGAAGAGCAACTGGGTGTCCCAAGTTCCAGACTGGCAGCCTCTCCAGGAATTGCTGGTTTTCCTCTGGCTGCTGTGTGATGCTCAGCTCTTCTGTTCCTGAAGTGGAAACCGTGCTGGGGCTCAGCTGATGGAGAAAACCCCCATGTTTTGGAGGTGAGCTGCTCAGGCATACTCTCTTCTCAATGCTTCCTTCTAGGCAGCTCTGGACATTTGGGATTTTGTCTGTGACATTGAATCTCAACTTTAAAACATTATTTTAAATAATTTTTTGTTTGTTTTACACATGTATAACTGTGAATCTACAATATTTTTACAATTATATGTATTATATGGAGGGCTCTGAGGAGTTATTAGGAATTACTGGCCACTGCAAATAATAGCCAGAACAAGAGTGAAATTCTGACATTTTCCATATCTCTGTGTGCAAAGTCAGTGGTAGAATTGACCTGGTAGTTAAACCATGTTGACCTCAGGAAGAGAATGTGAATTCACCTTGATAATTTTATATTTGATGGGTCTCAATTTTGTCTGACCCTCTGGTCTGGTTTAACATCAAGCCTGAGGTGTGCTGCTCCTAGGCCTTGCTGCAAGGTGTGTTTGGGACATGCAGTGTGTGGGTTTGTGAGGGTATGGGGAGCTGTTGAGGGGTGAGAAATCCACTCCATGTTTGGCAGTGCAATAATACAGGGTTTGGTTGGAGTGTGGTTGGAGGAAGTCAATAATAATGGAAACACAGAAAACAAAGGTAGGAAGGAGCCTTTGCGGATCTGTGTGTTAGTGACGATGGTAAGGACCTCTTGCTGCTCGGGACTGATGCTACTGAGAAGACTGTGGGGTCTGGCAGCAAGGCCAGAGGTTCTGTGTGAGGGGGAAGAGCAGGTCTCCAAGTCTGGGTGTTGTGTTTTTTACTGGGTATCAATAAGCTGGACTTGAAGAGCCCACAGCAGCAGCAGCCAGTGGGAGGAAAGAGCGGGATGGGAAGATCTTGCCTGGTAACACATTTGTGGGGCTTCATTGTCACCTTGGTGTTTCTTGGTGATCACTGTGCCAAGGACTCCACCTTGTGAAAAGGACCCGAGGGTCTCTCACCAGCCCCTTGCCCAGAACAAGCTGCCTGTCTGGCTCACAAACACTCCTCATCACCTGCTGAAGTAGCAGGCAGCAGGGAAATGGAGGAGGAGATGCTGGTAGGAGTTCCTATACAGGGCCTATCAGGATTATCTGCCTGGGATGGCCTGACATGATGTTGGGGTAGTGCCCAGCCCTGTAGACACGTGATCCACATCCAGAGCTCCTTGAGTGATGCACATAAACAGTTTAACGAGGAGTTATCCAAGAACCCCTTGTCACTGCACATGAATGGAGTCTCATGGGTGACAATTCATAAATTCTGAGTTATTTTCTGCATGCAACCTGCCCCCCCCCCCCCGGCAGTAAATCTTATTTTCATTTACCTGAAGTTAATTTCTTTTTAGAAACAATAGCATTGCCCATGAGCCTTTCTGAAGATGTATCAGTTTGTGAACTTGCAGCTAATGGATGGTTTGGATGGGTGCCAAGACATCAGGAAATCAGTTGTGCCTGTCCCAGCTAAGCTTGAAAAAAAAGTCAGTGTTTAGCAATGCTTTCCAAAGGCAAGTAGGAAGATGAACCTACAAACAAGCAGGGAGAAAATACCTACTCTCTCTCTTGTGTGGCCCAAGTAACCAAACCAGAGAGGTGCTGTGCAGGAAACTGGAGAGGTTATTGTGTAAAGCAGGACACCCTCCAGCAAGGTGTAGTGAATTAGGAAAACAAATGGGACAAATCAGTGTGATACTTCAGTGCCACAAGTCAGGAAGGGGTTAGAGACTTCAGGCTCAAATACTCAGAAGTGTATTTTGCCTGAATAAGTTGTATCTGTAGAAAAACATCTTCCTTGACTGCCAGATTGCTTTGCTCCTGTTAAAGTCAAGGGCTGTATTCCTACGGACTGCAGTAGGAAAGGACAACAACTTCTATATGCAAATAATTTTACCTGGAAACTGACAATATAAGGAGATTTAAAAATTTAAAGGCCTTGTTCTTTAAAGGTCTTTTATACCAATAAATTACCATGTAATAAGAGCAAGGCTGTACCTGTGATACCTACAGATTGCAGGCACGCACTTCTTTAAACTCTGTTCTCCGATGATACACTTTGCAAGATCCGTTTCATTCTGTATGGGAAAAGCAATTTGTTGCAAGCACGGCCACTTTGCTTTAAGGAGCTAAATGGGCTGAGTGTAGCTGTCTGCCTGATGCACTGCGGGCATAGCCGGGTCTGCTGACAATGTCAGGAGATAGGAGAAGAAAGGCAAACCACTTCTGCTCTCTACCCCTGTGGATAAAGCATGACACGGTGAACCCATTTTGTCCTCAACAGAAATGCAGACTTCAAGCAAATTGCTTGGTCTGTGTTTTTCTTCTTTTTTTTTTTTTTCCTAAGAGAAATCTTCAGTGGTTTGCTGCTCACGTGTTTATAGTCTTATATACCATCATATTTTCAGTAGTTGCACTGAAACCTCTCTGTTTCAAGTGTAACCAAGCATGAATTAAAACCCAGAAGCACATGAATGGACCCTGTATCTAGAAAGATACAATTTTTGATGCACCACAAGCAGCAAAGGAGACTTCTGTCAGTGGAGTTCCTTGTAATACAACTACTCATGGTTCCAGTACAGACCTAAGTGGATCAAAAACAAAATTAGGTAGATGTTAAGGGTTTTAACAGAGACACAGTGAGCACAAAGTATGAATGATTTTCTCCAACCCTACCTAGAAACCCTGCTAGTTTGAGCTGTTGTGCAGCATGTCATGTCCTGTACGGTGGAATTCCTTGTCTAGCTTGGAGACGTGGCTGAAAGGACAAACTTGACCAAGTATCACTGTTCAAATTTATACAACCTCTCCCCTGCCCTGGGAAAATTAAAGTGGCTGAACCTGAGCTTGTGCACCCTGCTGGGTCCTACCAGCTTGGAGGCACATCCTGGGGGTCTGCTCAGCCTTCCTGCACTGCCAGAGGAGAGAGTTGCCACGGGGCAACCTTGCCCAAGGGGTTTCCGCCTGTCAAGCAGTACAAATGCATTTCCCCTGAGCCCACCGTTTCTGAGAATTTAGCAGTGAAGTCGTTAAAGGGGGTTTCACCCTTTTTTGTGTGGCTTTGCAGTCGTTGTTTCAAAGGAGCTCAGCCCTGAGTCATGTAGGATTTCCTCAGTGTTTGTGTCCCAGTGACCTGGCAGGCATGGTGGTGTTATTCTGGGGATGGTGTAATGAAACTCTTTCCATGCTCCTGCTGCTGTGTGTACTAAAGCTGTGTCCTGAGGCCACAAACTCAGTGGACACCCACTTCATTGCAGGCACTGTCCCACAAGTGGTAAATTAGTGTTGTGGGGCTTTTTTTTCCAGAAGTGGTTATAATAAGGAAGGGTGAGACAAAGGGGAATGTGTAATTTCCCTGCTATAGATGGAAAGAGGAGGAGAATACCTCTTTTGTTACAACTGTCTAAGCGGAAATAATTCCTATATTGATGGCACAGGTTGCACTGATAGAAAATGTTTGTACCCCTTCAGCTTGTTCTCCTTCCAGGGCAAGAAAAGATGCAGCAGTAGGGAGACCCTAAATGCAGGTGAGGGTTGTGCTGAATGAGATGAACCTCTGTTGAGCAAGTGCACTTTATCATCTGAAGAGGTGGCCCAAAATGCCTTTCCCAACCCACACAGAAAGGTCTCCTAACCCACTTCTTCCTTCCCCTGCTAGCTGACGAGCTTCACTGGGCTCAGTTGTTACACCAAAGTAAATTAAAGCTAAAGAAAACACAACAGCAGGGAAAAGTCCCGTCATCTCACAGCACGTCTCCCCTGCAGAGAGATATTTTCGACAATTCTGCCTCTCTTTTTTTCCTAATTAGAAGTAATGATGTGTTTTTCAGGTCAAGAAGACCTCCTTTGCTGTGAAATATTAGGCTGATTTTGACAGTGTAGCTAAAAATAGGCATGTGCACACACGTGTGTCTGCATGCACATGCGCCAGCAGGAATAAACATATAGTGCTTTTCCCTTAATTACAAACATACTTTCCTCTGGGGGTGGGGGAGTGCCTTTGCCTCCAGTTAATTGTTTTTCAAGTAAATAGAGAGAAGGAGTTTTCTGAAGAACAGATGGGCTGGAATGAGGAGCAGAAATATTTTCAGTCAGAGAGGGGCCAGATGATGTCATAAGCCACAGGAACAAAGTTCAATTATTTTATGCTCTCATCCAGACCTCAGAGTGAAAATGCCTCTGTTGGTAATTTCAGATTCATCTGCTTTTGAAGGCTGGCTCTGGCTTTGGATGCTATAATACACACAGAGCTAAACTGAGCAAACAGCAATTGAGCAATGATGGAAGAACATATTTGTCAGCACTGGAAGCTTTTGGGTAGTGTTTGCACTGCAGATGATAGGCCAGAGATGCATTTGGTTATTCTGCAGGGAAAAGGGTGTACCTTGGATAACCTTAATAGACGTCCTCAAAATTTGCCTCTACCTGGTGGAAGTGAGGTTGGCTTTTGAGGGCTCAGGAGCTGCTCACAAACACTTCTACAAGTCTGGCTAGCTCTTACACTGTGACTAAACTCTCTTTTACTCCACTTACTGCATAGTTCCTACTGTGGGGGCTCATAGGTGTGTGTGTGTCCACCTTGGGATGTTGGTTATTACTGTACCCTCTGAGAGAACTGCTGATGAAGCACTTGCTGTTACCCTGAGTCACGGACTCTTCATGCAAGGTTGAGTGTCAGCAGACTTGAATTGCATTCCACCAGGCAGAAAAGAGTTTTGTGCAAGGCCAAGACAGGAGAAAGAGGAGGAGCAGAGTCTGATGGAGACCCTGCTCAGGAACAGTGCAATTCAGTGCAATTTGATACCTCCAGTGATGGAGAATGACTATGAAAGTTTAAATTATGGTCATTGCAGCTGTTGGAAGTGCAGAAACTCTTGCAATTGGTCCAAACATCGAGATTTTGTTAACTGTGTGTGCAGAGAAAGGCAGGGAAAGTGTGTGTGAAAATCACCTGGTGGCTCTGACAAGCTGGTGAAGAAAATGAGGATTGGAAATGCTGCAAAGAATGATAGGGAAGACCATGTATGAAATGA